CTTCCCGCGCCGCCTCGGGTACGCGGGCAGGAGACGCGATCCTCTCCCGGCGGCTGCGGCGGCTTGGAAGATGCTCAGCACGGCGACAGCTGCACGCGCACTGTGACACGCGCCATTCTGACACACGTGCTGTCGCACGCCCTAAGCCCCGCGAGCCGCACGCGCGCTCACCCACACTCACCTGCAGAGACCACGTGGGAGAAACCGGGGAGGGGGGGCGGGGGGACGCTGATCCCGGGGCAGTGCAATCCCAATAGCAATGATGCATGAGAAAATGTTTAACTCTTTCGCTCTCTGGATCAGACTGCCCACTCCACGGCGTCGGGCACGTCCGTGAGGGCTCAGCAGTGCCGAGCACCGAGTGGGCACTCAGTAAATCCCTGTAGACTAAGACGTGGACGATGGGTGAATGAAAGAATTGGAGTCGTTTGCGGATTATCTTTAATTTGAAATTTTGACTTCTTGGTTTGGTTCAAAGAGTTTTACGTATGCCATTAAATGATGTTTATTTTTCTTTTGAGCTAAGTAAGGTTCAAAACAGAGATGAGTGGACAGATGCTCTCTGCACCATTGAAGAAACCCTTGTGTTCTGTGCCAGTCTCTAACATTAGTGCGTATCCCTACCTTAATTTGAATGTCAACGTTTTTAAGGCAGGAAGCAGTTCCACAGCAGACTGATCTATATTGTGTGTGTACGGAGAAGAAACCAAGGATGTCACTGGTTCCTAGGCTCTGGCAGGACTTCTCACATGGTAATCTGTTGCAGTTTGTCACCACTTCCTTCCCCAATCCCTCTGTTGTTCTTCTCTATCGTTATTCCAGGTAGAGGCAAGGCATTAGCTACTAGAAACTAGTATGGCATTCGATGGTGAATACTTTTGCACAGAGAAGTTGAAAAATTAATAGGCAAGGTGTTGCAATTATAGTGCACCGTTCTGAGCTTGCAAAGCCCCAGTTTTCACATGTGCAAGAGAAATTAAAGAACTCCATTCTTGAAATCTGTATTGAGAGCTCCTCCTTGGAAATTCCAGTCGCTGTGCTCTGTATTTTAAATGTCAACCACCTCCCCCCTCCACACACACACCCACCAACACGCACACCATTCTGAAAACCTAGTGCCTCGACAAAATTGTAAAAGCCAACTCAGCATTAGACAATGGAATCCCTGGAGGCATCAGTCAACTACATTCAGAGTAACTTGCCTTCTACACGCTTGATAGAAGACTTGAAGGAGGCACATTTTTTACATTTCTGGGAGTTGGATCCATAACTTTATAACAAACCACCTTTCATCCCGATGCCTTAGACCTTTTTAGAAAATCTTTAAACTCCTGCATCCTTGGGCTGGTGAGATGGCTCAGTGGTCTAAAGCACCTACTTAGAACAAGCTAAACAAAGCACAGGGACCGCGGTTCAATCCCCCAGCACGACATGCCAGCCAGCCCCGCCCCCTGGTGGGCTGAGCTGGCCACACACACACACCCACACACACACACACATACACACACACACACACAGATAAATAAAAAAAAAAATTAAAAAAAATTAAACTCCTGCATCCGAAAGAGGTGGTTTTATGAGTCTCTTTGTATGGTCCAGTAGGTAAGAAATTACAGAGGCTACATGACTAATGACTGGACTTTGAAGCCACCCAGGGGAGCAGGCCCTTCTCCTTCATTCTTTACCTGTTTATATTTTTGTCTTGCTGGTTCAGCCAAGAAAACAAGCCAGGAACACATTACAGAGTTAAGACATATAATGCTAAGTTCTAATTGGATTTATTTATTCTTCTTGGGTAAACTGCAAAACCTTGAAAATACTACTTTATGTTTTGTTTAAAAGCCTACCTCTGTTCTTGTATCTCCTTTTTTAAAGGGACAAGAAAATGGCTTCCAAGTTCAATTACCTTCACTCTAAGTCCTCTGGACTTGTAAAAGCAGAAAAACGTCACAGGGCCTTCCTGCTTTGAATTTTACAGCAGTGGCCTGTAATGCTGAGGTCCAAACCGACAACCTAAAGACAATTTCTCTGGTAATGAAAGGGTAACTGCTATTGTATTGCTCTTAATCCAGTTTGAAGAAAGTCAGAAACAGGTAATCAAATCGAACTGAAAAGAAGCCAAGGAAAAAAAGGGGTGGGAGTGGAGGCTGAAGAGAGGACAGTTCAAGAATAGAAAGCAACCCCAGTGTAGAAAAAGTACTTCCTGGAGGCACCTACCCTCCCAAATCAGGACAAACCAGAAACTAAGCTTACCATAAATGCTTGGAACGAATTCAAGGAAATGCCCAAATGCCAAAGGTGAGCCAAGAAGGAGCAGGGCCTTGTCTGCTAGACGGAAAATATTGCTTATGACTGGAAACTGGTAGAGCGTGTGACTTCTAAAAGTTACCTTTTCTTCATCCATGCATCCAAATTGAAGCAGAAAGTCACAGTAAAGTTTAGTACAGTGTGCAGTGCCTATCTGTTATAGTTCCAGCCATTCCAAAAGACTAGCTAATGAATTCCTTTCCTTAAAGAACCAACTCTTGGCTGGGCGTGATGTCGCTTGCCTCTAATTCTGGCCGTGGGGGGGCTGAGACAGGAGAATCACCCTGACTTCAAGGCTAACCTGGGCTACATAGGGAGACCCTGTTTCAAAAAACAAGCAATAACAACAAAAAATCTGTGCTGACAATAACACAGAAATAACTTTGTTTCAAATGTGCAGGTAATTAATGGTCTGTTCAGTATATACTGGTTCTAGATTGAAGCAGAATCTCATATAACAGATTTCATACCGCAATACCCAAATCCAAAGACCATGGATGGCCAACATTGGGACTATAGAAGCAAAGAGAATTTTCATGTCCTCATTCATTCATGGGTCTTATTTATTCTGAATGTTTGAAGCTTCCTCTCTCCAATTAAAAATTACATATTCAAGAATGTGCAATTCAATAATCAACTGTCTAGGCTGAATTGAAAGAATTCTGTTCAACCTGGCTGGCTACCTCCATAGTTTGAGAACCAAATTCTGCAATTAAAAACTATGCTTTTGTTAGACAACAGTGCATTAAAAAGAGACTATAGCAATGTAATTCACATACCACACAATCCCCCAATCTAAACTGACCCAATTCGGTAGTGTCTAGTTCACGCATAGAATTGCACAAATATCACCACAATGAATTTCATAATACTTCATCATGATCACCCCCAGGATAAAATAAATGTACACATTAGCAGGCCCTCTTCCTCTGCCCACTTCGCCCTAAATAACCACTAGACCTTATCTTCACAGATTCACCTGTCCAGGACAATGCATGTAAATGGAATCATATAGCATATAATCTTGTGTCCGACTTATTTTACGTATTGTCTTTAAGGTCCATCTATGTGTAGCATGTATTGGCACTAAATTTCATTTCTTTATCAGATAAAATAATCATGGTAGGGATATACCATGTAGTCAATGGATATTTTGGAATTTTCACTGTTATGGTTTGTACCTAGGTGTCGCCCTAAAGCCTCATGCAGT